GCCCAATGACATTGAGAGGGCAATGTACTAAGTATTCTGGAAGCACCCTCAGAAACACCCAGAAGTAATGTTTTAATCTGGACCCCGTGGCCTAGTCAAGTTGACACAAAAAATTAACCATGATAAGTCCAACCCTTGTCAACTTCACAACCATGTGCATCTCCTTAAACCATACTTATTTACATAAAGACAGCAACAAGGTCATAATTCTGCCTAACATGATATGGTTATCCTGTGCGCAACTGAAAATGCACTAACACCTTCCCCTGAAAAGAAGTTAATGTCTTTCAGTAATGTTTTCCCTTCTTAATATCCTATAACTTAAATACTCTGATGTAAAATTAACAATAAATACTTTGATATAAAGTCCCTGCATCTTATATGATAAGAAAATAAAAGAGGAAAGAAAACACATATTCTTTGCAAAATTAGAAGGAAGTACTCTTGACAATAACAGTCCTCATTTCTGTCATGTGATTGTAGCTTATATTTATAACTGTCTTCTACCCACTCTGTATTCCCTTCACTTTCAACAAGCACTTCAGCTGGTCATGATTTTTTGCCTGGTGAGGTAATCCAGACCTTGATTCCTGAAGGGTCTAGGCCATTAGTAATCCTTCCTGGTTTTTCATTGACCTTAATCACAGGGTGTGGTAATACTAAGAGACTCTCTAAAGGACCTTCTTGTGTTCCAGACAGATTTGTTTCCACCTCTTGATTCCTGGATTTGTGAATCCTGATTGTGGAAGAAAAAGCACCACATAGTGGATTCAGAGCACATTCATCATTCTGGAGAACCTTGCCCCAGCCCTGCAAGATACTGCCATTTAGCTGGCACTGTCATTTAGTCTGCAAAACGTCATTCCACCGTTTTGTCAACCCAGCTGCTTCAGAATGTTAGAAAACGTGTCAAGACTAGTGAATTCCATGAGCATGGGCCCATGCTTTGTGGAATACTATGATGATGGATAAGGCATTCTGTAAGTCCATAGGTGATAGTTTTGATAAAAGCATTGTGTGCAGGGAGGGCAAATTCATATCTGGAGTAAGTGTCTATTCCAATAAGAACAATGCTGCCCCTTTCATGATAAAAGCAGTCCAGTATAAGTAACCTGCCTGCCACCAGATAGCTGGCAAGTTACCCCAGTGAATGGTGTCATATCAGAGGCTCAGTGTTGGTCTTTGCTCTTGGCAGAGTGGACTCTCATCAGTGACCATAACCTTGGTGAATGGAAGTCTGTGTTGCTGAGATGCATAACCTCCATCCCTCCCACCATGGCTGCTATGTTCATAAGCCTATCGGACAATGTTGGGTGGCTGAGGAAAGAGACTGACTGGTAACCACCGAATGGGTCATCTTATCCAATTAATTTTTAAAATTCTCTGCTGAGGTCACCCTTTGGTGAGCATTCACAGGGGAAACAAATAAATGTCTTTTTGTTTTTTAGCCCATTGAAAGAGGTCTGTCTATATCTTCCCCAGATTTGTTACCAATTTTCCCTTCCTCTACATTAAACTAAGGCATGTCTGGCATTTCCAGTTCATTCGCTGTGAGCCACCTTTTGGTCCATTTTTCAGCCAACCAAACAAATGCCAGAACTTTTTCTAACTCCCTAAGCTGGAACAATAAATGAAGAGCCTATATGAATATTAAGAATGATTCCAATGAAAATACTTTTTGTCCAATAAAAATGCATATGAATATAAGTGGACAGGAATAATTACCATATAGGAAGTTGATAATTGGGTGAAATTAACTTAGTGGTGTTAGGTTCATTCTGAATATTTTTTTTTAAGTATATCAATGCTTGTATAATTTTCATTAACATATTTGTATTAATAGACCCGGAATCAAAACTTCCTCAAGCTCCAAACAGTAGGGTCAGAAAACATCTACTTGGTGCAGGTGGTAGAATTGTAAAAATGCCCCGTGTTTATTATAATTTACTATGGTATGTAACACAAAATATTGAATAATGCTGTAAGTGCTACAATAGTTAGGAGGGAATTTATGTGGGGCGCCTGGGTGGCTCAGTTCCTTGAGTGTCCGACTTTGGCTCAGGTCATGATCTCCCGGTTTGTTAATTCCAGCCCCATGTCGGGCTCTATGCTGATAGCTCAGAGCCTGGAGCCTGCTTTGGATTTTGTGTCTCCTCCTCTCTCTGCCCCTCCCATGCTCATGCTTCTGCTCTGTCTCTGAATAATAAATAAACGTTGAAAAAAAAATTTTTTTTAAGGGAATTTATTTAAGAATATAGCAGTAGTTCAGAGAAAGGGCATGAATAAAAACAATGACAATGAAGATGGAGAGGAGCAAGCAAATTCAAGAGATACCTGGAAGAAAAGGTTTGGGTATGTTATGGGTTGACGAGAAGAGGGAAAGTTTTGGCTTGGCCAATTGTTAGATGGTGGGATCCTTAGCATAAATAGTATATACACGAGGAGGAAAAGATGGGGAGTTGACTTGTAACATGTTGAATGTGAGGTGAATATGCAGGCAACCAGACAGAGAAAACCAGTAGCTAGTTGTAAATACGGATCTATAGTTTAGTAGAAAGATCTGGACTGAAAATACAGATTTGAGTTTATATACTCTGTGTATCTATGTGTGTACTGTCCCTAGAGTTTCATCATATTCTCCTTCTTACCTTCTCTCTTTCCTTCTACTTTCCCCTTTTTACTGTTACATAGATTTTCCTTGGCAAGTTCATCCACTGCCTATACTGACTACATAGAGATAACAGCTAATACTGCCTATACATACAGACTATATTGGATAGCGGATTAAATCTCATAGGATGAATCTACAAAATAAGAAAACAGATTAAGAGAAAACACACAATATTGAAACCCTGGGGACTGATAGACACATACACATGTACATGTACATATAATCGTACATACCTGTATGAAGTAGCAGAATTGGCAGAGGCAACAGAGAAGATAGGCAGTAGAACTATGGAGGAGTAGCACCTCAAAATTGAAAAAGTTTTAAGAATGGTCAGTAAAATTCAGTAGACTATCCAGTGAAGGTAAGAGCTGAATAAAAGGGCTTTCCATTGAGTTTTTTATACCATTACTGGGTATTGATGTTGTTAGTGATTGGAACAGTTTCAGTACAGGATGAGAACTAAAGCTAGTTTACAGTGGATTAAGAAACAACCCTGAACTCAAAGGGAAATATGAAAGGAGAAATAAGATGTGTAAACTATGGAATTTAGAATTTATTCCTTGAACAATAGAAGATAATTCGATGTTTTATAAATTTTATTGATAAAAATGTGTCCCCAATGTTAGTATAGTTTTTTTTGTGCTTAGTTATATCAATTGGTTTATACCAGAGCAGTGATTTCATTCTCATATAGATCATTTGGGTTTGATGTTTTCCTGGGTATCTCCTAATATAAAATTGTGGCAAACAAACCCGAACTACAGTTGTCAGGGCTTTAGATTAAGGCAAAAAATTCTAGTATTACTCATGAAATAACCATGATCTCATTAAACAAAAAATACGGCGCTTCCAGTTTGGATGTGGTCATTACAAAAGAGTGCCTTTTCCCTATTTAGCAAGGTAAGTATTTACTAAAGTGATAATACCTGCCACACATGTACTCCTTACATAGAAATACTGTTTTAATGGTGCCACAAAATTACTAGAAGAAACAATGTGTAATACATTGAATTAAAAAGTCCTCATTTTGTTTAGTAAGTGAACTATTAATTTTTAAAAATCATCTTTTTGGGTAACTGGAGAAAGCGAATATCATGTTTTAATTAAGCATTTACTAGTTTTAAAATAAAGTTTTAATTTGATATCTGTCTTATTCCTAATATATTGAAGAGTGAAAGGAACTAATCTTTACTCAAGCTAGTTCAATAGGAGGTGGTTCTCTGTGACTCTTTTGGGATTTTCTTTTTCTTTACTGTGTAAATTAAATGGGAAATAATAGTTTCTTTTAGGAAGTCTTACCTAATGGTGAATTATATGTCTTTTGCTTTTTTAAACAGCTTTTTATAGAAACTAATTTAAAAAGGGATTTCTTAAATGGCTGCATTGGTGTTCACATTAAAAAGCAAGAAGGGAAATGGAAAGGTTTCATGCTTCCATGGTTAATTTCTTTGTGCAGCAACTCCTTTCTCTGTTTCTAGCAGTGATTTTCATGCATATCCTTAAAGAGATCTACATTTCTAAGAGCAAATACATTTTTATTCTGTTGCAATTTAGGATGGTTCATATTATTATGGATGCCTTATTTTTATTTCTGTTACATTAAAAGAGAATTTTCAGTTAGACATTTACTTTTTTTTATACTGTGTACTTCTGTAGCATGTAACAGTGCTGTCCCATAGCAATATAATGTGAGCCACATATGCATTTTAAAATGCCATTTTAAAATGAGTACTTAATAATTATAGATGAAATTAATATTCTTAAACTCTGTATGTAAACTATTATTTCAACCTTTAACCAATATAAAAATGCTTAATGAGGTGATTTTGCCTTTTTATTTCATATTAAGTCTTAAAATTCAGTTTGTATTTTACATCCTTTCTCAGTATGGACTAGCCACATCCTTTCTCAGTATGGACTATTTCAACCCACATTTCAAGTGCTCGGTAGCCACATGTGGCTAATGGCTACCCTACTGTACAGAGCATGTCTATTCAGTCAGAACAAATCCTTAGTATTTGGATGGATGGGAAAATAAAAGGAGACATTTATCTTCCATGAATTAGATTTGTTTAGTATAATATAATTTAGTATAATTTGTTTAGTATAGTTACCAACACAAAATAATGTGACCGTCTTTATAGATACCAAGCCTGGACTTTTTTATTCCTTGGAAAATCATTTGGAGGAGATAAGCTGGAAGTAGTGGGTAGATGGAACTTTTACATTTGGTTACCCTTAATAACTGTATTGTGTAATTGCATTTATTTTTATTGTATGTATATGTTCATACTTCTGTGGAATTTCATCATACGTCTATAACTTGTAGCATAAATGCAATTCCAACTACAATGAAGATTTTGTGCTGCAACTAGAGAAGGAGTTGGTCCAAGCTCGTCTGAGTGAAGCTGAGTCTCAGTGTGCACTAAAGGAGATGCAGGATAAAGTCCTGGATATAGAGAAGGTGAGAACAATATAAATAGTGTCACTCCCAAATTAGAGGGGACATGTGATAAGATGAATTTATTGAGCAGTTAAATTGGACTTGGTGTTTTCATACATTGGAAACCTTACATACTAGTTACTAAGAGAGGAAAGGACAAAGAAAATGAGATTCTCAGTTATTCTTTGTTGTTGCCAAAGCCCCTACTCAAAGCCCCTTTTTTTTAAGGGTTAAAAAAGCAAAACAAAAAACATTAGAGCCCTTTTAGAGGAAGACAAGCAGGGTAATGTTGATATGAATAATACTTAAACGTTGAAGAAGAGAAACTTAGGGAATACATATTAATGGTTGTCTTCAAATATTATAGTATCTTCATCTGGTGGGATATGACTAATACATAAACGTGTCAGAAAAAATTTCATCTGCGTGTAACTGTTAAAACTTTGCTAGCTACATAAGCCACCTCAAGATATGTAGGAAGATCTTAGCCCAAGGCATACTTAGGGAAGCTAATTTACTTCTTTTCAGGATTATTAAAGAATTTTAAGGATTAGATAAGTTAGTAGAAATAGAAATGCTTTTAGATTTCTTGTAACTCTCAGACTTGAGAGTCTGTGTTCCAGATCACAAACTCTGAATCTCTTTTTTGTCCTCTATGAAATCATTGATGGCTTGGGCTCTATGTTAAGTGTTCTTTTTATCTTTATAGTATCTAGCTATGTGAATAAAAGCCTGAGCGCTTGGGTGGCTCAGTCAGTTAAGTGTCTAACTCTTGGTTTCTGCTCAGGTCATGATATCACTGTGAGTTCGATCCCTGCATTGGGCTTTCTGCTGACACAGAGGCTTCTTGGGATTCTCTGCATCCCTCTCTCTCTGCCCCTTCCCCACCACCCCTACTCCCGCCTATCTCTCAAAATAAATATAAATAAATTAAAAATATTTTTTGAAAAGCCTCATAAATAATGAACATGACAGATAGCCTCAAGTTGTTCTTATTTCTTTATGAACTAAAGCAGGTGTAACTACCATCAGTAGTGGAATAATTTTGCTAGAAAACTGATTGCTATTTTTACACTATTTTTGGAGAATTTTTTCTCCTATTTGTTGAGAAAAAAGCCAGCAAGAATGCTGTAAAAAAATGAATAACAGAATATTTGGTTTCTAAGTTGGAGTACCTTGGGTTCTATGATGTAGATAAGAATCTGGATCTTTCAGTTTTGAAAATTTGGAATTTGAAAATTTGGAAGAAGTATCCTTGGGTCCAGTTTAATAATGGATTTCTTGGGGTGCCTGGGTGGCTCAGTTGGTTGAGCGACTGACTTAATTTCGGCTCAGGTCATGATCTCACAGTTATGAGATCAAGCCCTGCATCAGGCTCCATGTGGAGACCACTTGGGAGTCTCTCTCTCTCCCTGTCTGTCTGCCTGTGTTCTGCTCACATGTGCTTGCACGTGCATGCATGCTCTTTCAAAATAAGTAAACAAGCTTCAAAAAAAATTATAAAAGTAGATTTCTTAAGTAGCTATGTTGGTATTTTATGTTATAGAGTAGAAAGGAAATTAGAAGGCTTCATGCTTCCTATGGTTAATTTCTTTGTGTAGGAAATACAGGAATTCTTTGTGTAGGAATATATAGTAAATTTCTGGTTTTCAATTGGAAGATATTTATAGTCCATCATAAAAATGTGTAGTTGGCAAGTATAACTTTATTATCTCTGTGGGCTAAAATCTTCATCCTACCATGAAATATTTTAGAAAATTTCACAGATTCAGGACTTGAAATCTCAGTAGTACTTAAGTTTACCTAAGGAGCTTTTACTAGAGCCTAATTCAGGATCTCTTGGTCATGGCACAGAGCAATGTAATAGGGGCTACACTGTATCCCAAGATGGGTCTGTCAGTATGGTAAGGAATCAGTCTAAATCTTGTACTCTTGAAGCAAATATTTAGATCACCTTGGTGTTAATTTCTTAATCCTGATATAAATAGTGGCTAATGTACAAAGATTTTATACTCCTTTCCAAAGTAACATGCTGAAAAAATACAACAAAAAGGATTTTGGACTCTTCTTTTCCATAAATCTTTAAAATGTAAATGTTGTTCATGCTTTGTTTGGAGACCTAATCAGAGGTTAGTAAGCTTATTGTCATGTTGAAAAACATTTTTAATCATGTTGCTTCAAAACGCTGATTAGTGTTTTACTAATAAAGCAGAGTTAGACTTTCTCTGTCCTCAAAATTAAGCACAGTTACCCTCATACATTCCTGGTGGGATTGTAAAACAGTGCATTGGCTTTGGAAAAGCTTGACAGTTTCTTAAAAAGTGCAAAATTAGCTTCTGCTCCAGCAATTCTCCTTAGTATAAAACTCAAGAGAATTAGAAACCAGGTCCATACAAACACTTTTACATTAATATTCATGGCAGCATTTTCATAATGGCCGAAAAGTGGAAGCAACCTAAATGTCTGTCATTGGATGAATGGATAGATAAAATGTAGAATATACATAAAATGTAGAATATACACACAGGGAATATTATTTGTCAATAAAAAGCAATGAACCTTGAAAACATAAGTGAAAGAAGCCAATCATAAAAGGCCACATTCCATTTGCATGAACTGTCCAGAATAGACAAATCCATAAAGACAGAAAGTAGACTAGGGGTTGGCCGGGGGTTGAGGGAGGGAAAATGTGAGTGACTGCTAATGGTTATAAGGTTTCTTTTTGTGGTGATTAAAATGTTCTGAAAGCAGATTGTGATGATGGTTGTACAATCCTGTGAATACTCTTAAAACCACTGAAGGGTAAGTTTCATGGTTTGTGATTTATATCTCAGTAAAACTGTAAAATGAAGTGCAGTTACATATGGGCCAAAATAGCTTATTATATATGTTTTATTTTATTTTTTAAATTAACAAAAATCCCAAGTTATGTTTTTTCTGGCTTTAGAGAAACAACTCCTTTCCTGATGAGAATAACATTGCAAGGCTTCAGGAAGAACTCATTGCTGTGAAACTGAGAGAAGCAGAAGCTATTATGGGTTTGAAAGAACTTAGACAACAAGTCAAGGATTTAGAAGAACACTGGCAGGTATATCAGTATATTTTTGCATGCTTTTTAGAAAGTGGGTAAAACCGGAGTATCCAATTTGTGTGAGTCTGAAGTAGCTGATGATCAACACCAGGATTTGAGTTTAAAGTGAGAAAGTTGGGGCGCCTGGGTGGCGCAGTCGGTTAAGTGTCCGACTTCAGCCAGGTCACGATCTCGCGGTCCGTGAGTTCGAGCCCCGCGTCGGGCTCTGGGCTGATGGCTCAGAGCCTGGAGCCTGTTTCTGATTCTGTGTCTCCCTCTCTCTCTGCCCCTCGCCCGTTCATGCTCTGTCTCTCTCTGTCCTAAAAATAAATAAACGTTGAAAAAAAAAAAAATTAAAAAAAATAAAAAATAAAAAAATAAAGTGAGAAAGTTTCTTGAAATGTAAAAATCTGAGAGCACTTACAAGTTGAAAGTACCTTCAAGCTGCTTCTCCCTTTTAAATCCTCATAAATAAATAAAAGATAAAATAGAAATCAAGTCACGTTGTTACTGTATCATTGTGATTTATATAACTTCTTCTAAAGAACGAAAAGAAAATTTTCCTTTATATAGCATATACAGCACATATTTCTTCTGCTGAAGCTAAATCCATTGATCAGTATGAAACAGCCCAAGGGTGATACCAGTATAAATTTGTCTATATATTCGTAACCTCTTTTGAAAATTGGTTATCTCACAAAATAAATCAGTCACTTATATGTCCTCAAATTTATTCACATATGAGGGAAACTCTTGACAAGGAACAAAAAAAACAATCTAGAAGATTCTGTGGTGGCTCAGTTGATTAAGCATTAGACTTGGGCTCAGGTCACGATCTCCTGGTTTATGAGTTTGAGCCCCGCGTCAGACTCTATGCTGACAGCTCAGAGCCTGGAGCCTACTTCGGATTCTGTGTTTCCCTCTCTCTCTCTGCCCCTCCCCTGCTTGTGTTCTGTCTCTTTCTCTCTCTCAAAAATAAATAAACATTAAAAAAAAAAAGAATCTAGAAGACAGAAGGGAGAGCGGAAAGAAGAAAACAGTATATACCATTTCAGAGTAGTGACTTTGGTTTGAAATTGGGGTGTGGCTACATCTAGCAAAGACTGAAATTAGTCCTTGACATTACCATAAATGTATCAGGCAGCAATAAACTGGAAATTAAGAACCAACAAAACTGATCCTTCACCATGGATATTTTGAGAACACTCCTAATATTACCTCCATAATTCATGAATAGCCCCATTTTTTTCTTTGCTTGGGATTTAGTTAACATTGTGGAAATCTCTCTTATAAAAAATTGAGGGTGAAAATTATATTCTTTACAATAATCAATCCATAGTATAAACAGATTTGAACTATATCTGAGCTTGTATTCCACATCTGCCACTTATTGGCTTTGTGACCTTTCTGAAGTTACTTAATTGCCATTTCTGTTTTCTGACCTGTATAATGAAGATAATAGTTGCCTAACTTTTAAGGTTTTCTGGGGATTAAATAAAATAATGTATACATAATGCTTAATATAGTACTGGGCATGAAGTAAGCGCTTAGGAAAGTTAGCTTTTATTTTGATACTAGGAATATGTGTTGTAACCTGATTTTTTGTCTTTCAGCGCCACTTAGCTCGTACTACTGGGAGGTGGAAAGATCCACCAAAGAAGAATGCTGTGAATGAGTTACAGGATGAACTGATGACCATTCGACTTAGAGAAGCTGAAACTCAGGCAGAAATAAGAGAAATAAAACAAAGGATGATGGAAATGGAAACACAGGTATGATGGGAAAGCCCAGTAGCTTTAAAAAATAACATTACCAGATCAAAAGTTTATGCACAGGTTATATCATCCCTAGAATAGAGCCAGAAGAATAGAGCTAAAAGTCTAGACTGTAATTTCCTAGCCCAAATGGAAAGGGCTAAAAATTGTAGTCTTTGATATCAGAGATTTAATGTCTTCTTTGACCCAGTCAGCAAAGTTTAAGCAAGTCATAAAACTATACATTATTAACTTTGTTGCCTTGTTGTACAATTTGAGAGAAAATATTCATGTAGAGCAAATTTTTTCAACCTTGACTCTATTACCAGGTAATTCTTGAACCAGATAATTCTTTATTGTGGGGACTGGCCTGTGCATTGTAGGATGTTTAGCAGCATCCTTGTCCTCTACCTACTAGGTCCCAGTAGCACTGTGGTTCTCACCCCAGGTTTTGACCAAAAGCATCTCCACAGATTGCCAGATGTCCCCTGGGGGCAAAATTGCCCCCTCATCGAAAACAGTTGGTGCAGAATATAATGTGAATGATGCTTCCTTATATGTAATGTGGTAACTCTGAGCAGTTAATTCCAAAATTATACTTCTTTCTAAGTCTTCTCTTTCTGTGATAAATTCTGTCTTAAATATACTTAACATTTGCACAATCCTTTTTAATGAGCCCATTTGCATTATAAAGTACATTTGGTTTTTATGTGGTACATTTGTGTGGACCACATTCTGGATTCTCTGTAATGTTATTTGGTTTTCAAAATAGTCAGTAGGGGGCATAGTTAACTCATGTATCATTCTGTATACATATGTGCAAAATGATCATCCCAACTTTAACATGATAACATGAATCTGTAACTCCTTTAGATTAAATAGATTTTGTTTTATGTTGTTCAAAGTTATTTTCTTGTATTTTTCATTACAATTGACTATAACAGTGAAATTATGAAAAGTAGAAATCCAGTTTTTATAATTGAAAGTTTTATTTTTATAACAGATTTTATCTCATTGTACACATTAAAGATAGAAACACAGCTTTTAAGCCAGTGTTCGGGTTTTGTTTCACAGTGGTGAATGAATGAAATCAATGAACATAATTTTCAGAACTGTTGAATACAAAGGACTGTTTAGTCACCAGAGAGAACTTAACTGAAAAATCAGTTGCACAAACTACACTTAATATAATTCACAATATGACATGATGGATATTAACTAATAATTTCATACTATATGTAAGTCAGGTTATTATGTTGTACACCTTAGACTTACACAGTGCTGTATATCAATTATATCTCAATAAAACTGGAAAAATGTTTAATTTAGAAATCTGGTAACTAAAGAGTTTGATAGAAACTGCTATGGAAAATAAGAGGGGGAATTAATTCCAACTAGACGGTTTAGGGAAAGGCTTCCTAAGGAATTTGTATATTGAACTGTACCTGACAGAGTGTAATTTTGGATGCATTTTGATGAAAGAGAAATGGTGTAAGGCACTTGTTCCTAAATGCCAGTGCTTGAACTGGTGATGATTCATATCTAACGTCCAGATGAAGAGATTTGTCCTTGTTGATACATGTAGTTTCAGTTCCTTCATTTTAGTGACTTTCAGAAAATACCACCTAGTAAGTACACCTTAGTTTATTGAGCCACACTCTTCCTTCTTTGTACCAGTTTTTGCTATTACAAATAATGCTACTCTGAATATTATTGCACCTGTTTCCTTGTGTATAGCTCTACGAGTTTCTTCAGTACTGGGATTCTTATCTTTTTTTGTATGCTGTGAACCCCTTTGGCAGTCTGAAATCTCCAGATCCTTTCTCCAAATAATGTTTTTAGGGGTGCCTGGGTGGCTCAGTTGATTAAGCGTCCAACTTTAAAAAAAATTTTTTTTTAACGTTTATTTATTTTTGAGACAGAGACAGAGCATGAACAGGGGAGGGTCAGAGAGAGGGAGACACAGAATCTGAAACAGGCTCCAGGCTCCGAGCTGTCAGCACAGAGCCCGACGTGGGGCTCGAACTCACGGACCACAAGATCATGACCTGAGCCGAAGTCGGCCGCCCAACCGACTGAGCCACCCAGGCGCCCCAACCGTCCAACTTTTGATATTGGCTCAGGCTCAGGTTGTGATCTCACAGTAGTAGGATAAAGCCCCACCTCGGGCTCTGCACTGCGCTTGGAGTGTGGTTGGATTTCTTTCTCAACCCTCTCTGCCCCTCCCCTTCTCGTGCTCTCTTTCTCTATCTCAAAATAAATAAAAAATGTTTTTTCATGCATAAAGTAAAATACATAGGATTGCAAAACAAGCCAGTTATATTGAGGTACAGTTCTCAAAATACTGAAAAATAAACAAGTTTATGATATAGAACACATACAGGGACATACACAACACATTGCAGGATTAGGTTTTTAATATTTTAGATTTTTCTTACCTACGTTAGAATGTAGTATAATTTTCCTTTTGGGGGATACTCTCCTAGGTTTGGTATGAAAGTTATAATAAGTTTATGGAATAAATCAGATTGTATTTTATCTTTTTTTTTTTTTATTTTTTTTTATTATAAATTTTTTTTTTTTCAACGTTTATTTATTTTGGGGACAGAGAGAGACAGAGCATGAACGGGGGAGGGGCAGAGAGAGAGGGAGACACAGAATCGGAAACAGGCTCCAGGCTCTGAGCCATCAGCCCAGAGCCCGACGCGGGGCTCGAACTCACGGAGCGCGAGATTGTGACCTGGCTGAAGTCGGACGCTTAACCGACTGCGCCACCCAGGCGCCCCTGTATTTTATCTTTTTATTTCTACAAAATTTTGTCTAAGATTAGAATTACCTCTTGAATATTTGCTGGAATCCATTCCTTTAAATAGTCTTATCTTTTTGTCTTGTTTTTTTGGGAATAGTAACTATTGATCCTACTTATTGAAGGCTTATAGACCTTTTCAGGTGTTCTGTTTGTTCTTGAGTCTCATTTGGTAAGACGTGTTTGCTTGGGAAGACACATTTCATCTAAACTTTCAAATTCATCACTTAGAGTTGTTGAGGGTGTCTTTTTAAAAAATTTCTTTTTACTAGGTCAATATTTAGGTCTTTTTTCATTTCTAATAGTGTTTATTTGTGTTTATGTTCTTGAAAAGTGTTTGTAGAAGTTTGCCATTTTTTTTCAGAGGTTTGCCATTTTTAGAAATATTTCTAAAGACTGGATTTTTCATTTTTGTTGGTCCTCCATGTTGTACCATAGTTTTCTATATAATTTAGTTCTGTTATTATATCCTTTTATTATTTGTTGCTTGGGCTTCATCTTTTTTCACCTTTATTTGTACTCCTACCTATGTTTTCTTTTCTAATATATTTTTTATTCTTCAGTTCCATGCTTTTGACTTCCCTTGTGATTGCTTGTTTGACTCAAGATTTGTTTACAAGTATGTTTTGTATTTCCAAATGTATAGATTTCTGGTTCACTTCATTAGTAGTTTATGTCATTAGTTTAACGAAATTGCTTTGTGGTCACAGATTGTAGTCTGTAGAGTCTTACTTATATTAGATCAAACTTCTTCATTATACTGTTTGTATCTTCTATATTCTTTCTAGTTGTGTGTATCACCTGATGTTTCAAATACTAACAAATAGATACCTTCTCTTGTGATTGTAGATTTGTTTCTCCTTAGATTATGAGTTTTTTGGCTTAAAATATTCTGAGCCGCTTTTAGAGGGACACACAAATTTTTAATTGTCATTTTTTTTGTAGTAAATGAATCTTATTAGGGGCACCTGGGTGGCTCAGTTGGTTAAGCACCAGACTCTTGATCTTGGATCAGGTTATGATCTTATGGTTTGTGAGATTGAGCCCTGCATCGGGCTGTGCACTGACAACATGGAGCCTGTTTGGGATTTTCTCTTTCTCTTTCTCTCTCTCTCTCTGCCCCTTCCCTGCTTGCTTGCTCTCTCTCTCTTTTAAAATAAATGAACTTTACAAAAGTTTAAAATGAATCTTATTATATACTGACCCTCTTTATCTTTCAGGATGCATTTTGATTTAGTCTATCTTAATACAGTTATCTAAGATGTTTATTTTATTTTTTAAGTTTATTTATTTAGAGAGAGTGTGCAAGCAGAAGTGGGGGAGGAAAAGAGTGAGAGGGAGAGAGAGAGAGAATCCCAAGCATGCTCTGCACTGTCAGCACAGAGCCCGATGTGGGACTCAAATTCATAAACCGTGAGATCATGACCTGAGCCAAAATGAAGAGTTGAATGCTCAACCGACTGAACCACCCAGGCACCTCTAAGCTGTTCTTTTTCAGTCTCTGCCTTATTTATCTTTTTCCATCTTTTTAATTTCAGCCTGTTGATATCTTTGATAAACTGCATATAGATGAACATTTTTTAAAATCCAGTTTGACAAATGGTTGTACAACTCTGACTGTACTAAACTGCTGAAGTGTAGGTACACTTTAAGTGGGTGACTTTTATGTGTATGTCTCAATAAAGCTCTAAAAATGCAGTCCTTTTAGCAGTCATCGTTAGTCCATGTTTGATGATTCAGTTTGGATTAATATCTGTCACCTTGCTAGCTATTTCTGTTTGTTCCATCTGTTCTTTATATCTTTTATTTTTCTATTTCCTCTTGGATTTATTGGGCATTATGATTCCATTTTATCTCCACAAGTGACTTCTTTATACTCCTTAAGTTTTTTTTTTTTTTTTTTTTTTTTTTTTTTTTTTTACTGGTTGCTCTAGGTTTTTCAATATACACCTAATGAGAGCTAATCTTCAAATAATATTCCTCACATGTAGTATAAGGACCTTACAACAGTATATTCCCAGTTCTTCCTCCTATCCTTTGTGCTATTTGTTGTCATATATCTTGCTTTTACATATAGTACAAATATGTCATATGTGCTACTAGTCTTGCTTTAATCATAAGTTACCTTTCAGAGAAATTGAAAAAAAATTTAATGATATTTATTTCCTTCAATTATTCCATTTTTCAGCATTCTATTTTTTTGTACAGATCC